TCTATTTTTGGATGCATTGAGCTCGACTGAAATCAACTTTATGGACATGTTACTTTAAGGGACTCAGCGAGTCGCTCATGGGACTCTACGAAATGGGTTTTGGTTCCCCAACCTTTCTAGCTTCGGATCGATTTTGTTGGGTCAAGAAGAGGACTCAACAAGATGGACTGGAATATAGGCTTGAAGATCAAAGAACTCGACGAGTTCAAGGATGAACTCAACGAGTTCAATGCAATGTATCAACCATATGAAGACGAACTTGACGAGTTCAAGAAGAACTCGACGAGTTATGGACTAAACACTTTAACCAGGATGAAGATAAACTCGACGAGTCGGTTGTAGAAGGTCCAGAATTTGTTTAAAGGAGAACTCAGCGAGTTCTTGTAAGACTCGGTGAGTAGGGTCGAAGTTTTAGCATTCTCAGGATTATGGAGCTCGACGAGTTGTGCGGTTAAGTCGGTGAGTTGAGTCAACCAGATGTTGACTTTGACCCAGAGTTGAATTTGACCAAGGTGTTGACCTTGACTTTGACTTTGACCTAAGTTGACCATGAAATGGTAATTAAGGAGGATTGTTACATGTAGGAACTAAGATGAGTTGATCCTGCCAGCAAGGACAGTTTAGACACTTCACGACACTGAGGTGAGTTACCTTCCAGTAGAAGTGGGTCTAAGGCACCAAGTTCGGCCCACTACTAAGAGTCATACTAGAGATAATGGTATTCGTGATAATTATCTGGTTTGTTGATATTTGTTTTGAATATGTGCTAGCATGATACAATGTTATGCGATAGTAGGCAGTAGGGGAATAATCCCTAAGTTATGGTCGTAAGGACCACAGGGTAGGTCGGGCACCCCAGATATGTCTGACAATATATTTATTCTATATTATTATGTGGTAGTAGTGGGGTGAAATAGTCCCCGTAGTTGGTTGGGATAAACTGGAGGGCAGGTCGGCACCCCAGAATTGCCTGACAGGGAAGGTTGGTGCCCCAGAATGGCCGGACAGGGTAGGTCGGGCACCCGAAAATTACTTGACATTATATATGTTATGTGGTATGTGGTATGGTGGGGGAACTCACTAAGCTTCGTGCTTATAGTTTTCAATTTTGTTTCAGGTACCTCTTTAGCAAAGGGGGAGGATCCGGTGCGGTAGCTGCACATCACACACACACAAGATTTTCGCACTATGATACTCTTAGGATTGTACTCTGATATTATTATTATTCCACGACATGTTTTATGACATTTGACTTATGAGATCTTGGATTGATATGATATCAATGATGTTTTTCAGTAAATTGTTTTATAAGTAACATATCTAAAATGAAATTTTTGGTCTTGAAATTTGGGGATGTTACGAGTTGGTATCAGAGCCTTGGTTTGAGGGATTCTGACACAACTTCGGGAGTGTCTGGACTCAAATCGAGGGGTAGAATGATTTTTCACAAGAAAATAGTTTTTCTAAAAGTTAAAGTAAAAGCTTTGAGAAAGAACAAGGTGTGTGATGTGCACGACCGACTGAGCTCAAGTAAGTTTTCCCCAAGATACCCATACATTTTATGTTATAATATGATATGATTAGGAGAACTACATGCTAGATTAGGGATAAGGATCTAGGAAGGATGCATTTTATGCCTATTGTATGTGTATGAGAACAGTATCCTAGAATAGGGCTAAGGATCTAGGAAGATTCCTGATATGCCTATTGTATGTGCTTATTGAGCTGCATGATAGTACTAATTAGACAACGATATGATAGCATGAACAGGATATGCTTGGTTTGGGTTACTCAATGCCCGAATGCTGCTTTCTTTGTGCTAATAGGAGTTCTAGCTATCTTTAGCTAACTAATAATGAATACATTACATTACATATTGTGAGGACTAAATAATTTCATAAGGTTAGGTTTAGCCATATTTCGCAGCTCTTGTTTGAGTCCAACCGTTGTAGGGAAGGACCTCTCATTCGAAGAATTATCTAGTCTTAGTGATATGCAATGGTATTCGCTAGTTAGATGAAGGTGGCAGGGACTTCTTATGCAGCTGATGGCATTGAGTGTGTTGGAGAGTTACCCTAGGGTAAGCCTAGGATGAGAATAGCAAAGAGTGCAGCGGTGGTAGAATGGACTTGGTGATGTCAAAGCAATCCTTGAGGAAAGTATGGATAAATGTGGAAGGTAGTATGGGCCTGTACTACTAAAAGTAGAGGATCTGTACTCGAGTCAAGGAGGGTCGGGATAGACCTAAGGAACTTGCAGAGTCTGTAAGATCTCTCGAGATTATATATGACCCTAACACTTATGTATTTTGTTTTAGAATAGTGATGATAATATGTCAAGGCGTAGGAGGATCGGGATCAGGGTCAAGATTAGGATCAGGTACGAGTTTGGGTTTTGAGCCAGTGGATAAGGAACTATACGAGTTCATTGCATCGGATATCACAAGAGGTATCCTTGAGGTAACCCCGGTCATTTTTGGGTCGATCAAGGAAGGGATCATCGAGCTGAAGGAGGATCGCCTCAGGGTGTTCAGGAGCGATATGGCATCTAGACAGACAGGGACACGCACACTATCCTTTATGGATTTCATGGGATGTGGTGTGCAAGACTTCTACAGGGTGAAAGACCCCATTGTTGCCAGACGATGGACTGCAGACATAGAGTCTGCCCAGTTGACGAGCTTCTGCCCGCATTGGTCGAAGGTCCGGTATGATACAAGATGTTTGAGAGACAGGGACATAGATTGGCGGGAGTCAGTTGGTGACTCTTTGGGAGCCTCAACCATTGAGGCTATGACTTGATCAGATTTTGTGACCTGGTTTAGGGCAAAGTTCGTGCCGACTGTGGAGCTTCAGCAGCTGGCAAGGGACTTCCTTGATATGAGATAGACGACAGAGACAGTGGCAAATATTACCACCAAGTTTAGAGAGAGGACATTGATGGTGCCATAGTATGCGGGGGATGAGGAGATGCAGAAGACCCGCTATCATGATATGTTAAGAGCTAACATTCGGAAACATGTCAGCTACTCGGCATGCCCGACATTGGACGACATGATAGCTAGGGTGAGGGAGAGGGTGTAACATCCCGAAATTCAGGTAAGCCTTATGACCCTTCTACTTTGAGAGTTGGCAAGATGAGTCCCTTAAAGTTATATGTTCGATTTGTTAGTACGCTGGGTGTAAAGAAGCGTACGTCACGCGTACTCACACGCTTATTTTGGATGCGGACTCGCCCGGGTACGTTGGGCGTACCCAAGGTTACGCTGGGCGTAGTGTGCCCAGATGAAAACCCTAAATTATGGCTTGTGCACTATAAAAGGAACATCTAGTCCTTTGCCCCAGCCACCATACCCCCTTGAGTGAGCCCTTAGAGTGCAGAAATCTGTGTTTAAGCTTGTGTGTGTGTTCTTGAGCTTGAAGGTACCTTTTTGAGGTGAAGAAGGAGAAGAGGAAGCCATTGTTGGAGCTAGAAGTGGAAGAGCAAGAGTAGATCCGAGTTCTACAGAGGTTGGGGATCCCTTTTGAGGTAAAAAGCTCAAAGCTTTCCTTGTCCTTTAAGAGTTTTTCTTTTTGGACCCATTTTAGGGTTTTTGGTTCAAAAGTGGAGACTTTGTGTGCAAAGAGTCTCCATAAGCATAGATCTGGCCTTTCCAAGTGTAATATGTGTTGAGGATTCATAAAAATCCAATCTTGGTCGTGGATATTGAGTCATCCATGATTTAGGGTCTTAATATGGGAAGAGGAATGTAACATCCGGATTTTCAGGTACATTATTTAATTATTATTTTTGGAGATTTTGAGAGAGACTCGGCGAGTTGATGCTTAGACTCGCTAAGTAGAGTCGCGAATTTTCATCCGGGTTAATGACCGGACTCGGCGAGTCCGCGCTGTTTAATGAAACCCTAATTTTTCGGTTTGGAGACCTATAAAAAGGCCCTTATGGCCTTCATTTGCGGCTACTAGTTGTTAAAGAGAGACCCCAGAGTGTGTGAGTGTTTTGAGAGAGAAAGGAAGCCATTTTTGATCCTTGTGTGGGTGATTTTGCAAGAAGAAGGTGACCAAGGCAAGAGGAAGCTAAGGAGGGAGCTAATCTGTGGATTTCAGAGCTTAAGGACTCCATCTTGAGGTACATATTCGATCCTTCTTCAGTTTGGGTTGTTAATCCTTGAAAGTTAGGGTTTCTAGCCCATTTAGAGTATGATTGTTAGTGCATTTGGTCGCTTCTTGTGTTGAGGCTACGAAAATGGATCCAAAGAGGTCTAGAGACCTTAAATCCTTGATCTTTATTGAGTGTTTTGGAGAGATATGAGTTTTAGATGGCATATTGTGGCCATTTCTTCAAATACAGCCATGGGGTCCTTGCATGGGCATCAAGATCCAAACTTTACATGTTTTTATTGCTTTAGGAGGTCAGATCTATGAGTTAGAGGAATGGATCTGACCTCATGAGCTCATTTGAGCTCGAGCATGGCATGAACTCGCCGAGTCCCAAGAACAGACTCGGCGAGTAGGGTTACCGTTTCCCGTAAGTCACTCGGTGAGTAATTCACTACTAGAAAAACAGCCTTTTATGACGCTCATTGTGCGTCGTAAAAGGCTCAGACGACGCGCAAATGCGCGTCAAGGAAGGCCCTGTCATAAAGATATACGACGCGCGTTTACGACACGCAATGCGTATCAAGGAAGGCCCTGTCATAAAGGAAAACGACACGCATTCGCGTGTCGTAGGCTTACGACGCGCCTGTTAATGACACGCAATGCGTATCAAGAAATCCACTGTCAAGAAAGGCCATGTCATAAATGAAGATGACACACATTTTTGCGTATCATATTTTTAAATGTTTAAAAAAAATATTATTTATAGATTTACTTATTTTCAAATTAAATTTGTATTTAATGTTTCATAATAGAAAATAAAATATCATATACAAAAAATAAAATCCATTTCATAAATTTAATGTCATACAATTCTATTTTTTACAATATATAAATTTGCATCTAATCTACTATGTACATCAAATTCCAACTAAGTAAAGTTGCATCTTGCATTTCATAATTCTTTAAGACTAATGCTCCAAATAACTGATTATATGGATAAGCAGTTGTACATTGGCCTATCTCACACAATAATGACTTAGCCAAATTCAACTCCAAGTCTTTACTGCATCTTGCTGATAATGCTGCCAGATTTAAATCAAGTGGCTTCATATTCCTTTCTTCCATCAACTTTACCTGATGCACAAAATACATAGAAACAAAAAAATTTTGTAAAGGAAGGGGTAATTTGGGAAAATGTGAGGGGTATAATATAATAAGATTTAAATCCTGACCTTATCTTTGACGATGTTGTTATGGGAATCCGTATTGATCCCGATCAGGGGCAATAAGAGCAAAGCAAATAAATTGATGTTTGTTTTTTAAATAATAAATTAAATTAGCCTTAATATAAATTGATACATTTAGGGGGAGTTTGTTTTTTAAAATTATTAACCACTTACTGGACTAAAATGTCTAACCTGGTACCATAACTCTTACCAGTGACATAAATCCATGAATTCAAACAAAAATAAGAAATTTATATGTAATATTTCTTTTGTAATGTATTCGAATATTAACTAATTCATTCTGCATATGGAATACCTGCTGAGGTCAAGGCAACAAATTGCTGCTAAACTAGAGATGAGGCAACCCATTAGAAGCCTTCTTGAAAGTAAAACTTGATAATAGGCCAGGCGAAGAGTAAAGACGTAAATGCCCTTCCTTATAAATCATGTGTTATTATGATTATGCTTAAAGTAAAAGACAGAACATAAAGAATGGGAATGGAGGTTGAGTACCTTATGAAGTAATAGTAGAAGAAATCAGCATAAAGAGCTGTTTGTATTAAGCCAGAGAAGTAGGCTGAAAACAAACAAAACAAAAGTCAAATGAAATACATGTATAGACAATAAGAATAAGAGAAAAGCTTTAACTTACATATCTATCCATTGAAATGGGGCTGTGTGAGATACCAAAAAATCCAGTTGAGAATATACAATGCACGGTTTGCTCTAACAATACAATGCAAAATATAGAAGGGAGAATACCCAACAAAGAAAACATATTGACCGGTCAAATTGTCAACATTTCCACTTCGCTGCAGCAGAACCAACTGTGGGAGAATAACAACAGCTTCCAAATAGATATAAAATGCCCAACATATCTGCACATTCCTAATAATATTAAAACTATACAACCTTATCTGTTTCTACATTTTTATATCTTTATAACACTCCAATTAGGCTAAGCTTTTTTTGGGGAGGGCATTTAGGTCTTTTGGACAAGAGCCAGTCCATATTAAAAATAGCCGTTTATATCCCTTCTAATTATACTCCTGTGGAACATGTGCTTCAAATGTACTCCATTAGCAATCAACCATTACACCATCAACATTAAAATCAGTACAAGATCAACATTAATATCTAATTGTTTTTAGCTGAAAGTTTTAGTGGTTGTGGATATTGATATTTGACCTGAAAAGGGCTTTTTCAGCACCAAGGATTTGAAGGGTAAAAGAAGATCATTTTGAAAGAAACAACAAGGGAAAAAAGGTAATTAAATATATAAATGAGTTAACCTTGAGTTCTTTTCATTTTTAATTCAAGTATTATCATGATATGATAAGGGGAGAAAGAGATAAATGAGTTACCTTATTTTCCTTATAACAGAAAGCACCATAGTGAAGCTTGTATCGTCAAAACCTGTACAACCATAATATAAATAATTCAATTTTCATATATAACAAGAATTAGCAATTTATAATTTTTTTTAAATTGAAACCTGAACAGGTAACTGAACAACTCGTTCATCTGAACCTAGATTTGGCCTTGACATTTGAGATGCAATTGGTATTAAAAAATCCCTTGCCCTCATTTTGTCCCATAAAAAGTTGTATAAACCAAGAAATCAAGCATCATAGGATTGATCCAACAAGTTTAAAAGATACTCCATTGTGTTTTGCAGGATTGCCATTGGTCTTATCAGTGCAGCTTCCCTCTCAGCTGTCCTAGTGGACTTGAAATAAGTAAAAATAAAAATTTTAATTATACATATTATAATCAAGAAATATAAATAAAGGGTGGTGATATTGCCACTGCAACTTTTAATCCTTCCACTTAAATAAACTGTGAATTGAAAACTATGCCCTTATTTTATTAAAAGAAAGCAATCCTATTTTGTTTTCACAAAACGCACATCTAGCAAACTAACCAATTTATCATCGATAGTATCAACCTTTTTTGAGTTTCGGATTCATCTGTGTTATCTATTTTTTAATTTTGATTATGATACGAATTTCTACTTTAACAAATGATTGAATACCCACATCATATTTATGACTTACGAGGGAAACAACCAGGCCAAGATCATGGGGTTTTTCGGAAAAAAGATTGATATTTCTCTCTTTTAAATAAATTGGTGCATAATTGACAATTTATATTTTTTTTCCATCAAAAATTAAAGTGGAAATATCAGCTCCCCTAAATAAAACAGAATTCCAAACATCCCCTTACCTTCTTAATTGCAAGAGATTCAGTTATCTGAGTTCTATCTCCATCCAAACGTTCATATTGATCAAGATCACCTTTCCTCTCTCTCTCTCTGCTCTTTCTTGCTCTATATAAAAATAAAAAAACAAAAGTTAAATTCAAGGCCTCAAGGGACTCAAATGGTATTTCCTTGAACAAAAAGATACCTGGACACATATCTTTTCGTCTCTAAATCGGGCCAATCTTTTCGCTTTAGCTTGCAATTCTCTGTAGTAGAGTATGTAAGAAATAGAAAAGTCCTTATATATATGTTTAGCTCAATAAGTTACCTTTCACTGTCATCAAGAACAGGATCATTTGATGGTGTAAAAGGTAATCTGCTCCGTTTTGGAACAGGTATATAACTTGGATTGATTGCAGGTGTTTCAGGTTTATCAAGATCAGTATATTGTGGAGACCAAATATGATTTTCTGGATCAGTGTATGGATTGCGCCTTGCAGTTGATCTTGGAGGAGATACAGAAGGCCTAGAAAGTGAACAAAAAGAATATTGTTCCTTGTTCAATAACCTGAATGATGATAGTAAGTGTAATTGTTATCTTGAAAAAGAAAAGAAAGAAAGTAACTTGCCTCACTACAACAGTTCTTGAGTTTTGCAGGATGTCTTTATAGGTAGGGAGTAAACGTGGTGATCTTGTTCTTTTCAAATCTTGAACTTGATTTTTGGCAGGAGACTCGGTTCTAGGGCTATGTGATGGATTAATAGGTTGTAGTGCAGAACCTTGATTAACTTGGGGGTTTTTGACAAGAAGCATTGAACCTAAGGAGATTAGAGCTATTATTGACTTGTAAGATACACTTAAAGAGATTACTCATATACATAATGTAAATCTGACAGAAATCTTAAGAAGACTATACCATGTATATGGTGATTGGGAAGGAGGTCGGAAACCAAAGGAGGGTTATTGTTTTTGAGTACCATTACCAGTACCAGGACCTGAGTTCTTGTTAAATCCCTGAGTCGACATTTTATTAATTCATTCGGAAAGTGTGTGTCCGGCACTGAATCTCCTCACTGTTTGAGTATCAGAATGATGAACATGACCTACAAAAAATGTATGTTGATCTTTGTTTAGTAACAAATTTCATATAAATCACAACTCAAGGGTCTGTTTGTGAAGGTGTAATAAGGGTTTTCAATGCCTATCGTAAATGAGAACCTTTTTTTTCATTGAATTGTCGTTTTTCAAGTTTCTTGAGGGTGTTATGTTTTTCTATAAAACTAAGTTTCTTGTTAAGTCCAAGTTAGTGTGCCGGTTAACCACACACGCTCCACTAACGACTTAGACAAACTGTAAAGTGTAATTTCATGGATTAGCACCTTATTCACATTTTTCCTAAAGTAACTAAGATTGGGAATTTAATAAAACATTTAGTTACTTTATAATATTCACCATACTTTTAATGGGAATTTATAAGTCCTTGTCTTACCCGTTCGGCTAACGACCCTCCACCAGTCAAGCAAGCGGTGGGTGAGAGTGGACACCCATTAAGTTGTCATTTTATAGGCAACAACCTTATACCCACCTTATAGACCGGCTTCGTGAATGAGGCGTACTAGCGGTAAGACGACTTTAATCTTATACATACATACATACATACATATATATATATATATATATATATATATATATATATATATATATATATATATATATTATTAACTTATAATATTATAAGTATAAGGGTTGAATTTTAACTTTTAAAATTCAAAGGGTTGGAACTAAAGTTTTAATAAAGACTTTACTTGTTCCAAAACTTGAGGGCAAGTTTTTTAAACTTTCAAAACTTTTCATTTCTTGTAACTTATGAGTTTATTAGGGTATTAAAAATGAAGACTCTTCATTTTATAACCCATGTGTTCTTTTAATGGTTTTTAAACAAAGTTACTTTTGGTTTTCCATAACTTGAGGACAAGTTATGGACTCCATTAAAACACATAATGATCAATCCTCAAGTTATGGACTCCATTAAAACACATAATGATCAAGAATTAATCTACCACATAGGTTACAAATAATTCCTATGATCATTTAAACATCATAAGATAAAGAACATGAATATGAACACTTTCATGAATCAAAAATTACACTTAAAACTTTGTAATTTTGATAACTAGTTGTTGTAAATGGATTAGAAAATACATTACACCATCTAAAACAAGTTTTCAAGTACTAAAACTGTTTAGGTAATGTTTCTAGTCCATTTCCAGCAACTAAAGTCGAAAAACTGCATTCTGAGGCTCCTACTCGCCGAGTGCATGAACCTACTCGGAGAGTAGGTTGAACATTCACATGAACTCAGGGAGTCTCCCCATGGACTCGACGAGTTCATCAGTCAGATTGCAAAAATATCGACTTTTTTCAACTATTTAACACAAATAACAAACAAACAAACCTGGCTCTGATACCACTATTGGGTTTTGAGCATTCTAACACTTCCTAAGTGTACATGAAACCCTAATAACCTTGGATCTATGTTTGTCTAATTATCATGCAAAGTTGATTTCCAAGGCTATGATCCTATCTAGCATACATGGGGAACAATTTTAACTTGAATAATAGATAGAACTACATACCTTGTTGTTGAAAGTGTTCCTTGAAACCTTGTGAGCCTATCACCTCAAGTGTGATGCCTCAAATGCTTCACACAACACCAAATGCAAAGTATAAACTTGAGAGAATACTCTAACACACTCAAAATCGGCCAAGCCGTCTTGTTTCTTTAGTGTAGCCGATTTTGGGGAGAGACATGATCCTTATATAGTGTGTTGCATTAGGTAAAACCCTAATGTAACATGACTCTTCATTTCTCAATCCATGGGTTAACTCATGGAGCATCCTATGGGTGGAACCCAACTTGATAATCCATGGAGCCTTTTAGCCCACTATATAAGCAATGGAAGATTTATATAATCTACCCATATATTTAATTAGTTATTCTTTTGATCACTTAATTAATTCTAAATTAATTCTTGATCAAAACTAATTAAATAATATTATTAATATATTAGAACTTATAATATATTAATAAACCATAAGTGTTATTTCTCTCATTTAGTTTATCCAATTGCATGGTGCCATGCAATCCAAATGGACCATGCCGGGTCGGGTCAAGTATTTACTAGAAATAGTTATGGACTTAGACACCTTATCCAACAGTTTTCATATGGATTGTAAGGATAAGTTTTTCTGCAAAGTTTTAAAATAAAAAGAAATTTTTTGATTTTATTTATTTTATGTATCCTTACAATGGCGTTTGTGGAAAAATGTTGCTTATATGATTCCATTAATAGCAAGAGTGGAAATATGAAATTGATTCTTTTATTTGTGGTAAAGTCTAAATTTAACAGATAAGGAAAGATCCTCATCACCCAAGTTTCAATTGGACCGGAACTTGGAATCATGCAAGTTGTATAACATGATGAATGAGAATTTTTCCATCTTTAGAAAATTATGTCACACCCCCAAACTAGAACGGCGGAAACATTCGAGGGCGAAGGACGTCATATTCAGTATCATAACAGTTCATAGTAAGGAAAGTACACACTACCATATATATAAAAGTTTCAAAGTGTTTACATTATTGTATTTGTTACATGTTCAAAAGATAAATACATAAACATCTTTCAAAAGAAGTAATTAACGTCAGAGCGTTAATCCCCAAAAGTTGGTTTCCAAACCTGCTTAGCGGTTCCCTGAGAATACAAGTTATTTCAAGAAAAAGTGTCAAAAATTAAGTTGGTGAGTTCATAAGCGGTTTGGTGAAATGTATACCATTCCAAAGTTCGTGTGTTTTCCAAGAAAATCCATGATTTTCTTATAAAAGTATGAAATGCATATGAATGTTCGTGTTGTGAATTGTAAATAGTTGCACTAGGAAAATCCCTTATTTGCGTATTAGTTGATTGGTTTAGGTACAGGAAAATCCCTTATTTTCTTAAAGTAACATGCAGTCTCTAAGACCGAAAATCGCAAGCAACTGACATGCTTAAAGGTTGAGGCATAGTTTTATATAATAAAGCTATAAGAAGTTCGTACTTGTTAGATGAAGAATAGTTTTAATAGCTACTCGTTCATAAAATCAGAATTCCATAATAACTGTCTAGCCGGTGAGTTTTATAACCATACTAAACATAATATGCATGTGGTGACGGTCTTCAGGCGTCGAAACGTTTATGAAAAACTGTCACCCAAAGGACTGTAGCTAACAGTCAGGGCGCGGGATCATGGCTTCCCGTATAGATCTATACATATTTGACATGCTCTGCAAACGGGAGACTCTGGTTATAATAGACAGGACTTTAAGTTGTACCTTTTTGCAAAAAGGTAGCGTTGAAGATGTAAATGTCTCATGGGTTCTCAACTAAGTATGTATTAAGGTGATAGTTTTGTATACAATGTTTATTCTCTCTTACGATGTTTGACTAAGCATAAATCTTAAGTCCTTTGAATGCATAAAATGCTTTAACAAGGATGGCTACCCTGAATACTATGTATTTTGTATAAACCTAGTGCATGCAAGATATAACAAGAGTTTTCACGTTTTCACTCGGGATTAGCCGGGTGTTTACTTGTATTCTCCCCCTAAATGTATTAAAAGTCCATTATAAAGTATTTGAAGGTGTATAAAGGGGGTATGAACTCACTTGGTTGAAGTGGTTGCTTTGAAGTAGTCGAGAGAAGAATCGAGCACAACTTCGACAGAAAAAACTGAAAACGCGGGAAAATATCGGGATTCTTGGGACTCTAGGGAGTGTAGAACTTCCTTCGGGACTTCAGTGTGAAAACCGGGGCTTCAGGATGGCTTATCGAGGTAATTATGCAGAGTAACAGCACTTAGATGGAAAGAGATGAGCACCAAACCCGACACCGTTAAGCTTCCATTTATAGGGGCATATCTGGTGTGCCACGTCGCGGCCAACTGTGCCACGTCATTGTGAGCAAATCTTATCCTCTTCCATTGATTGGATGCCCTCAGTCAGTTGTCGGGTCCCAACCAACTGTGCCACATCGTGGCCAACTTTACAGCCTCGGATTTCGGGTCTCGAACTTGTAAAACTCGTAACTTTCACGTACGAGCTCCATTTTCGATGTTCTATATATGCACGCTTAGGTGAGAATATACTCTACAACTCTCATATAGACTTTATCGGCTAATTTTGAATTTATTTTTAATTATTTATTTTTAACAGGCCGGGACTGGAAAAGCCCGTTAAAAATCCATAACTTCTTCATCCGGCGTCCGTTTTTGCCATACTTTTTACCGTTGTGCTACTTTGGTTGAGACCTTCGATTCTCATTTAGGTTGTTTCTGCCAAAAGTCTCTCGATCTGTATTTCTAGTTTTTAGCTGTCTACTGCTATATCTGGATTTTGGAAAAATCATAACTTCCTCATACAAAGTCAGATTTTGACGTTCTTTTTACGTATGTTTATGGTTTAATGATATCTAGAACTTTCATTTAGATACTTAAGGCTAAAAAATATTGTATTGAAACTTCATATTTTTCGTTTAATCGGTGTTGCCGGTTTTGTCAGAAATCTTAGAATGGTCATAACTTCTTCGTTATAACTCGGATTTTAGTGTTTTTAGTCTTTCTGTAAACCTTGACACAATATCTAGCATAGTAGGTAACCCAATAGAGACTTTTGTACATTTTATTTTTGAAGTTACTTTCATTATTTCAAAAGTGGTTACAATACTTGACTTTTTATGTCATTACATAGAGTCGAAATATCGTGTTGTCACATCAT